TTATTTGCCACATTCCCCAGTCTACGACAGTCATTTTAGGGCCTCACATTTTGTACTGCCTGACTGAACAGACAAAAGTATCTCAAGTCATGAGAAAAGTCTCTTCTGAGTTCTCCCAACCTGTGTTAGGGAACACACAGCTTTCTCACACTCCTGTCTTTAAAACCTGGGGCTACAGATAACCATCACATTTTCTCTATTTCTTTTGTTCCTCTATTATTTCCCATGACCAGCCCAGTCTCAGCAAGATCATGTATTGTACTCCAAAATCGTAATGGCTTACCTCAATTTTATCTGCTAAAGTCTCCATATATTTCAGATCCCTTATTCTAAATAATTTTCATCAGATATCTCCTGACAAGCTCATGAGTTCTCAAGCTATAATGACAATTATAAAGTTTAATGCACCATACACACAATATTAATATTTTAAATTATTTATTGTATACTACCAAATACAACTAGCTATCAAAAGCATCCTCTGCACTATAGATTTATATCTAATTATAGGTGGCAAGAACTCTTCAATATTTGGAATAATTTCAAGATTCAAATCAGTTCCAAAATTTTTATATTATCTAACCAGCATGAAAAAAAGAATACTAAATCTGTAACCCAGACTCTTTGTTACTTCTTTTATATGAGTTAATATATGAATAAAAGTAAAAATTTTAAAATACCTATCAAGCTCATTTAGGTTAAAGATAATTTCCATCAAAGGCAGAGAATGATTCAGTCTTAAGATTCTGAGTTTATACTTTAAGCCACATCCCCAAATACTAAGAGTTAGATAACCTCAATATATAACTAACAAGTTGTCACTTTAACTAAAATTTATAGCTGGAAAAATGTACTCTTTAAATAGTGAACTAAAACAAAACACAAGTATATACTAAACCAAGTGATGCCAATTACACTCCCCGGCAGATACTTTTATGTATGACCTTCTCTATCTTGATAAAGACCTCTTTCTGCTGCAGTATTAAGCCATGGTTTCCAACTGCCTTCTCTACCTCTATTTTTATTCATGTTACACATAATCAAATAATCTTTCTAAAATGCAAAGCTGAGTAGGACTGAATAAAACAAAGAATAAGAGACTTGAAGCAGAACTGCTCCGTATTTGAAAAATCAGGTTCTACCATTTGTTAGGAGTATTCTCTTATACAAATGTCTATAATCTTGGTAAACCTTTGTTTCTGCCTCTGTGAAATGTGGACAATATCTACCTCAAGGGTTCACTATGAGGACTAAATAAGATAAAGTAAAAAAGCCTCCTAAAGTAGGTACCCAGAAATATTTAGCTCCCTTGCCCTTTTATAAGTTTGAACCAGCAATCTTTCAAAAAGGTTATCACATCCTATGGGAAAACTGATTTAAGGAGAGTATCAGAAAACAATGTAATGGCTGGAATTGAGAATATTTGCTTTTTAGTTATGATATCGTTGTAATTAACCTAGTTTATTAATAACTAAAAAGGAACAAAGGGAAGGCCAAATGTTATAAGCATGCCATTTGTACAGCTTTTCCAGGAAGTGGCAGTTTATCACTCTCCAGGCCCATTCCCTGCAGATCAATGGGGGAAGGGACTGAACATGGACAGTTTAGACGTATGCCCAGTAAAGTCTGAATGAAAGAGGGAAGGTACTTGCCTGTCTGTCATACCTGGGAACAGGTCATTGGCCAGAGGATGTGTGGCCACTGCAAGTGAAGATTTGAAGCTCCTAAACAAAGAAGTTTGCTCTCCTGGCTTATGGGCTTTCACTTTTCTGCACTCCTGCATTTGCCCACATGGCTCACAGCCATATGGACCCCAAACACACTGGACTAACAGCCTGCAACTAACTGGACCCAGCTCCACCATGAAATTGGAACTCTAGATACTGGTTTTGCTTCTAACTCTGCTAAATCCTGACCTGCACATCTTCCAGGACAGGATTAAGGAAAATGAGACTTTGCAAACCAGGAGCTATAACTCCACACAAATAAAAGTAATTCATCCTTCAGAGCCTCAGAAAATTATTTTTCTCAAGATTCATAAGGACCCAACCCTCAGAACCCAGTGGGGAAAGGGATACTCCACTCCCACGAGCAATGAAGAAAGACTATCCATGCATTTCTCGATAAAAAGGGGGGTTTATTTGGAAAACTAAACTATGATGAGAAAGTAGTTTTCTTGAGTATGCAGAAATACAGAGTTAGGCTGATAGCTCTCAGCCAAGAACTGCTTGAACAAGGCTTGCTCCCCATCTCCCTACCGCCAGTAACTGCAAGGACTCACTGTCCCAAGATTTTTTCCCCCAAAATTTAGTTTTTTAGAGTGCCTCTAACTATTACTATAATTATGAATAAATGACTGTGACTATTTAAGAAAAAGCCTCTACGGCAGTAGTTTCTAATCACCTTGAAGGAATTATTTTCACCTCCCAAAAGCTGTGTGGATTACGGTGGGAGGAATGCAAGTCTCTGGTAAGAGAGAGAGAAGAGGTGATGATGACAACTGTATACCCCTCTACAGTGAGAAATTCTGGAAAAAAAATGGAATAAAGAAATTTGCAGCAGTAGAAATCTACCAGGTAAGAGTTCTTTTTTTTTTTTTTTTTAAGATTTGAGACATTTATTTACTTAATCACTTTTTAAGAGATTATTGCTGCAGTTAGGAAGGGAGCATTGAGATGAGAAGTGGGAGGTTAAAGACAGAAAAGATTTAAAGGAGGCAAGTACCATTTTCCAAGTAAAAAAGTGGTAATATTAGAAGTGACATGGCAGTATAGTCACATGATTTCTAATACAGAAACAAGACAGTACAGTTTTTGCAGAGGCCAATGTGACATCTGCTAACAACATGTTATTGTTAGGACGTCTGCCCTCCTGGGTGTTACTACATGCAGATACACACAGAACTGAAAGTCCACAAATGTTAAGTCAAACTAAGGCTCGTAAACATAACTTAAAGTGGCTACAGTAAGTCCCTTTGAAAAACAACCCCAAGACCCCCACCCCAGCCCACCCGGAAGCAATGTTGTCACAGCATAGGGGACGGTCCCGGGGAGACACTGGAAGCAGCTGACAAACCACAGTGGTGCCTGCTGGGTGGTTGTGGGTCCCCGGACGTCCTTCAACATAATGAATGCACTGGAGACATAAAAGACAATTCATGCAGAGATCCAACCACACCTCCTCTTTCAGGAGGTACCCACCAATTCAGCAACAGCAGGGAACATAGCTCCATGTCCGAAGGACCTCAGCCTCTCCCTGTAATGCACACCAATCACTCTTGGAACCCACGATGGACAGGAGGAAGCGCGTGCGCGCACACACACACACACACACTAGCCCTGCAATGACACAGCCAGTCACAGTTTTGTGCAGGAAGTACAGTGCTAAAGAACATTTCGGACAAACATGGTAAGGAGCTTGGGGAAATGGTGATGTTGGCTCTCCCGACTGGCACACCCAGGGAGGGAGGCGAGAGGATGCCAGCCTGAAGAGGCTGGACCTTCAGGATCCCTGAGAAGGGTAATGGAACAGAGGAGTTTCTCCTGACTTATCCTAAGGATTTTCCTACCCAACTAAAACCTCAAGGACCGATTCCCCATCCCCAGGGCCTAGGTCAGGAAGCCATACTGCTCCCGCTGAGGAAAAAGGCACACATACAATATGTTGTCATTAGGGTAGGACAGTGGCTCGGCCTAGATCCAGGCTCCATGCAGAGCAGAAAAAGGTAGAAAGTGGGCACAGGGTTTGGTCCTATCCCTGCATCATCCTGAGCATCTAGTCTTAAGAAGAAATCCCAGGCCCTAGGCTACAATTGACACCATCATGTTTTCCTATTCCGAAATATTTATCTCATCCTAGCCAGGGCTGAGAAGTGTCCGGTACCTGAGGCTAAACTGCCATAGTACCTTTGGGAGCTGAATAAAAAAGACCGAGGCTTGAAGAACACACCAATGGAGAGAAATTTTTCCTTGCCTTGGGGGCCCTCCCACGCCCTTCCTGCCCCACAGGGTAAATCAAGGCAACTTGTGAAGGTGCTTTGAGCTGTTCCTTCTAGCAAACATGTTCTCATACATACGGGATGGCGTAAAGCAGTGGGGAAGGGGAGGACCACCACGAACTTTGGTGACATATATTTGAATTTGGGTGTTCATCCTACCCTGATACTCAGGAAAGCATAGAAAAGTGTCTGGTTTCTGATCATCTCCAGCCCAGGAGAGGGCTCAGGTGTGCTCTGAAAACTGCAAATTCAGAGGATCAGCATTAAGGCCAGAAAGTTCTAGATTCTCTGGGAATTACATTCTCTTCCTAGTTCAAGAACAAACCAGTGGGAGCATAGTTTAAAATAAGAATTCCCAAAGACGGTGGAAACCAAGTATCAAATGGAGACTACACATCAGAAGAGGACAATGTACCACTCAATACTCCGCCTTGTAGACTGGCCACACCAACCCTGCATAACAACAACGGCCTGGTCAACCTGTGCCCTGGAAAAACAAGTTGCAGTAAAAGTAACTAAGAGAGACAACTAACCTACTCAAAGAGCAGGGCTGAAAAGCCTACTGCTTAAAGTCACCTAACACCCACCCGGGAAACTTCTGTTACATGTGCTTCCTATTTGACTAAGTCAATTGGCCTGTGATAACGAAGAAAACCTTCTTCTATCTCATAAACTGTACCCCAGCTTGCCTGAGGGATCAGGACAGGTCAGAGCTGCCACACAATGATTACGTGAACGTGAAAGCTAGAGAGGTTAGAGAAGGAAATAGTTAAAACAATTCCTAGTGCATTATTTAGAACAGGGGCAAAATAATTACATAATGGAATCCTCTGGGGTCTTCACATCAGAAACCGCAGAAGGACGATTAGAGGAGGACGCGAATCCTGAGGACCAAGCAGTCTTGTGGTCTGTCTCGTCGTGCTCTGTGGAGCAGGACCAGATGTTGAGCTATGTGGCCTGTCCACACCTGAGAACCTCCTGAAGGCCAGAAGCCCCTCCAGACTCAGCGGGGCTTTGGAGAACCATTCATCTGGCTGACCTGAGTTACAGTGTCTGTGCTGAAAAGGCTGTCCAAGAAGACCAAGGACAGCTCTGCCACTTGGTTCCTGTCGACAGCGGTCTGGGCCATGCCGTAGATCGCACCCATTCCTGTGGTCTTGGCTTTAGAATTCTTCATGATTTGAGTGACAGATTCTCAGATGTCCTTTAGAAACTGTATGGCTACTCGCTTCCGAGTGTGTACTAAGGTAATGCAGAAATGAATACTGGATGGGAACTGCAGCTGGTTCAAGTTCCACCCCTTAGCAGTCATCAGGTTAAATAGTCGGTAGATGTCAAAATCATGGGAGCCCAGAGCAATGACTGACAACTGAGGATCCCCAAAAACAAAGATGCCTTTGATGTTTTCCAGTTCTGACTTGAGGAAGTGAGCGGTTTTGATGATCTGTTTGGTAGCTTCAACATAGCTGCTCTCACCGAAGTGCATCAAGGTAGCCCAGCAGGCCGTGAGCCCACCATGGTTGGGGAGGCATAGATGCCACCCTGCCAATCAGGATCAACAAAGAACTGATAGCTTCTGTACTTCTTGTCACTGTATAACACCAGTGAAGAGCCTTTGCGAGCGTAGCCATACTTATGGGTATCCGCTGAAATGCTGGTCACACCTTTCACCCGGAAATCAAATGGTTGATCCAGTGGGTATCCTGCTTTCTCCATAAAGACGATGAGGAAGCCCCCCAGACAAGCGTCTACATGAAGAGGTATTTTGTATTTGACAGCCAGTTTGGCCACTTCGGGGACAGGATCTATTACACCGTGAGGAAACTGTGGGGTAGAACAGACGAGCACGACAGTATTCCTGGAGATGGCTCTTCTCATTGCCCAGACATCCACCTGCATCATTTTGTTCAGTGGAACCCATACAATCTTCATCCCAAAATAGTGGGCTGCTTTGTCAAATGCAGCATGGGCACTTTGGGGGGGCCACAATTTCTGGAGTTTTGATCCCATCCTCTAAGGCCAGGTCCCGATAAGCTTTGCAGGCCATCAGTGTGCTTTCTGTCCCCCCAGAAGTCACACATCCACAGGAATCTGGTCCCCCGTTGTCACAATCTCTGCCTCTATCTTCCGCAGACCTGGGAAGATATCTGAATGCAGTGGATTACTCCATGCAAAATCTCCATAAGCCTTCACGAGGAGCTCGGTGAGCCTCTCCTCCCCATTGTACACCGCTCCGGGGGCTCTCCCTTCTTGCCATGTGACATCCATAGAGCTGTACTCCTTGAGCTTCTCCAGAACTGCAGACGAGCTCAGACCTTGAGGGGGCAGAACTTTCACATACTCTTTCTCCACTTTCAGAAATGACATGTTCTTGCTAATATCATCCTTGGCCTTGTTCAACTCATCTTGGATCTTGCGACCAATAATAGGCATCTTCCTGATGAGCTTAAAGATTTTCTTTTTAAACCTTGACCATAAACTCTCTGGCTGGAAGACAAACTCATATACCCAGACTATCAGCAGGGTGCATACGACACTCCATACAATTAACTGCCAGGGCTCATATTTGGTGCAATGCCCATTTACATAATTCTTGGCCTTTGTGGAATATACTTCCAAAATCTCGAAGTAGGGCTCAAAGACCTTCAGTATCAGAAGGTCCGTGCTCGGCATCTTCCTCTTCCAGCAGAACTTTTGGTGCCTCCCCTTGAACACGACTGTCCTCCCTGCTCCGGAGCGCAGCGGCTCCCGTTCCCTCCTCAGCCCGAAATCAGCTTCCCCGCTTCTTCCCTCGGACACTCGCCCACGAGGGTCCTCTTCACCCAGGGACCAACGCGCGCGAGGCGAAGCTCGGGCTCCCCCTGCTGCTGCCCACGCTTTTGAGATTAGAGGTCCCGCCCCCGGCCACCCCACCCCTCCCCGTCCCGCCCCGCCCTGCCCCGCCCGGAAAATCAAGAGTTCTTGATTAGAAAGAGTAATCCAGTGTTTGGAAACTTTGACTCAAGCCATTAATTTATTTTCCAATACCTCATAGAACAAACTACATTCAAAGAATGCTATGAATGAATTCAGACAGAAAAACCTTCCTTGCTATTCTTTATATTAATACTTATAATATCTATGATTGTGTTCCCCTTGCCCCTTCAAACAATGACCAAAATCCTGAAAGAACCCTGGTAGAGACCATGGAGAAAACATAATGAATATCAGTATTTTCAGTGTCTGGCTGCTAAAATTCTAACAGTCTATACATCTAAAACACAAAATGCTTGTTGGAGGCATAAGAGATGGTGGTTAAATGAATAGACATGTGATATTAGAATCTCATTATTCTGTATGTCTTGACTGGAAAACATCAAGGTAAAGGAAATTCCAAATAAAGATTTAAGAAGATGGCCCTGGCCGGTTTGGCTCAGCGGTTAGAGCGTCGGCCTGCGGTCCTGAGAGACCCGGGTTCGGTTCCCACTAAGGGCACGTACCTCGGTTGCAGTTTGTCCCCGGCCCTGGTCGGTTGTGCGGGTGGCAACCACTCAATGTGTCCCTTCATATCGATGTTTCTCTCTCTCTGTTCCTCTCCCTCCCACTCTACCTGAACAAAAAATGGAAAAATGTCCTCGGGTGAGGATTAAAAAAAAAAAAAAGATTTAAGAAGATGAGCAACTGCCCAGCCGGTGTGGTTCAGTGGATTGAGCGCTGTCTCATGGACTGAGAGGTCCCGGTTTGATTCCTAGTCAGGGCACATGCCTGGGTTGTGGGCTTGATCCCCAGTAGGGGGCATGCAGGAGGCAGCTGATCCATGTTTCTCTCTCACATCAATGTTTCTATCTCTCTCCCCCTTCCTCTCTCTCTAAAAAAAAAAAAAAAAAAAAAATTAACATCATATTTTTAAAAAAATTTTTAAAAAGATGAGCAATGATGATCTGCAGAACTGAATATTTAAGAATAAATGGAACATCTAGAGTCAGTATCTAGCTGATAGGAGATGATGAGGAACGAATACGTGGGAGTCAGAGATAAAGCAATAAATAGACCAAGAGGCTACCTCCGTGTGCACAATAGCAGAGAGCATAAACTAAAGGGTCAGGGAGTTGGATCAATCCCGTGGAAACATTTTGCTTGGTATACGGTATTTCAAAGTTGGGAGAATAAATATAAATGTGGAGGCTTTTATTTTTCTTTTAAAAATTGCATCTCTCCACGTTTGAGTCACTACTGAGTGTAATCTCTCGTGTGCCAGCAATTGGATGGAGTTCAACTGTACTTCCCCTTTTAACATGAGGCATGCACCCTCCAGTTCACCACAATCCCCACCATCTCTAAACACTAGGCATCATCTGCTATTTATCACTGAGCTTATACTATAGTTTATTCTATGACAAGGAAATAATTCTTTATATTTAGGTCTTTGTGAAAACAAAAACTAAATCTATTTTTCCCTTTACACCTGGCCCATTTATTCATGTCGCCTGGGCACTGCCTGAGCAATCAACAAATAAAATAAGGTGGTGATAAAGCTAGTTTATTTGCTGGAAAGGAAGAGTCTAGAATATAAACTAGACATCAAAAACAACAAAACTTCCTCAGAATGTAGTAACTGAAAATGTATCAGGTTCCAAATTACGTAACTAACCTAGCAATTTCAGTTCTGAGGATTTACTCCATAGATACACTCATACATAAGCAAAATAATTTATGTTCAATGTTATTCTCTGCAGCAGCATTTGTAATAAGAACTGATTAGAAACTATCTAAATGTCCACCATTAAGGGGACTAGACAAATATTAGGGTATAACCTAACCATATAATACAGCCACAAAAATCAGGAAATTCCTTATGTACTAATATGAAACAGATTCCAAGTGAAAAGAACAAGGAAGAGCAGAGCATATATTTCAGTTGTGAGGGAGGAAGAGGAAGAAGGAGGAGGCGGAGGAGAGTGGGGAAGAATACATAAGTAACTATATAGAGATGTGTTTATATATGCAGACAGTATTTCCAGAGGGATACAGAAGAAACTGGTAATAATGATTCCCTCAGGGAGGAGAACTTGATAACTGAGGAATGGAGGTGCTAGGAAACTTCACTGAACATATTTGTCTTTTGAATTTTGTAGCAGGTATATATTCAAAAATCATTTAAAAAAATTGTAACAGGTCAGCTGAGCTGATTCCAAGTATGATTAATAATTCATCAACTATTTGAACTAGTGACCCAGTGGCCTCTCTCCACATATATAGTATTCCTCCTTTTAGTTCAGATGGAAATTTCAGCAGGAACCTAAAGGAAGCTGAGGGGGTGAGCAGGAGAGTGCAATGAAATAAGAACAATGGAAGAAATGACATGGTATCTTTTTCCATCTAGCTCTCTGAACTGGTTTGGAGGCCAGAAGGAGTAAAAGGGTAGATTTAAAAGATAAGAAACCTTTTCGAGAGACTGTGAAACTGTAAGCACAAATTTTGCTTCTTTGGGACTTGGTGACAACGTGGTTCAGAGACTGGGGGAGGTGGGGGTCTGGTCTACACATAACTCTCTACTCAGACCTGCACCTCCTGGGTACTCTGACGACTGGAGGCTTTGAAGCACTAAAGACAGCATTCCTGGGATGACTTCCATCCCTCACAGAGGACCCAGAAGTAGTGCTTGATAAGGTACCATACTGGGGTGGCTTGAAGGGGATGGACTTCCCAAGGAAGCTATAGGAAAAGAATGTTCCTGAATACATGTTACATTCCATTCAAGGACTCCCAGAAATATTTAAGGGAACTCTGAGGAGAGGTGGGGATTTGTGCAAATAGAAGGGAACTAAAAATTATACTCCTTCTCCATATAGGTAGGTGATGAAGCCTAGAAACAAGTAGGCTGCATAAACATAAAAGTATTATGCACAGTAGTGAAAGAACAGAAATATAATACTCTGCCAAGAGAGTCAAAAGGAAAGTCTTACTGGATTTTTTTTTTTTTTTTTTAAGTTAGGAGATTGCTCACTGAACAGGATGTAAAAGAGAAAAAAACATGAGGATGGCTGGAAAGAGGTTACTCAAGGCTCTGCTGGGAACAACACACTTAGTTATGCAGTACCTACTTTCCAAAGTGAAATCTTTCAACTGCTTTAAAATGTTTCTTTTCTAAGCCATTGAAAGCAATGAGATCATGTTCTTGATTAAGTGCCAGGTTTTTCCCCTGCAACCCAGACTGTTGAAGTTAAAAAGAAGAAAAATTAGAGGAATGAAAAGAGTAAAGGTAGGAAGAATTGGGAACAGAAAACAAAGGGGAAAACATAAATAAATTTTAATAGGCTAGGAATAGAAAATTATGGAATGACCAAATACAATTAGGTTTAAAAGTTGAGAATATCTTGCCCTGTTCCAAAAAGACACCAAAGTATCAATTTAACTGATGTTTTCCTATTCCATTTTATCATGTTTTCCTATTCCATTTTATCATAGTTAAGGTAACATACAATCGCTTTATGCCTCCCAGCACATAGTTTTAAGTAATTATAATACATAGATAAGTGAGTTGTGAAAGATGGGATTATGTGTACTAATACCACAGGGCTTGCTGAACAATAAAACGAGAAGAATTTGAAGTCTAGTCTTAGGCAATTTTGGTTCATATGTTTTTCACAAGAGGAAATAAATAACATTCATTACCTTAAACAATGGTTATTGAAAGAGATAATTTCTAAGATAAGTAAGAAGTCAAATGTACAAGAACTGGAGATTAAACTCCATATCAAAATACAACTCCTATGGTTTAGAGAATAAATAACAAGTCCATGTATTTATACAGTTAACTCTTGAACAACATGAATTTGAACTTTGCGGATCCACCTAATGCGATTTTTAAAATAAATACTATAAATGTATTTCTCTCTTCCATATGACTTTCTTAACATTTTCTTTTCTCTAGGTTTATTATAAGAGTATAGTATATAACACATAAAACTTACAAAATATGTGTTAATCACTGTCTATGCTATTGGTCAGGCTTCTAGTCAACATCAAGCTATCAGTAAAGTTTTTTGGGGAGTCAAAAATTATACACATATTTTTTACTGTGCAGGGGTCAGCGCCCCTAATCCCTGTATTTTTCAAGGGTTAAATGTACTTTGTATCCATGACAGTCTCTTCCACTTACATCATTAGCTTTTTAATGTAGTTTTATATTTGAATAGCACTTAATATTTTACAAAGTATCTCTATATTTCTCATTTGGTATTCACAACACCCTGTGAGGTAGGTAGGACAGGTTTCATTCAGTTTTACCAAAACATACATAGAAAGGTTAAGAAATAACTTATAAGTCTGTTGTAAGCCAAAGGTCTGGAACTGCTGGTTCCATATTTGTCACAGTGATGTTTGTGGACTACTGTTCATCTTACTCACTCAATATTTACTAAGTGATAACTGTTACAGGTACTATAAGCAATAGGCATAAATATATGGAATATAATAGAGACCAAGAACATACATAGTTTCTACCCTCACTGAGCTTTGTTTAGTGAAAGTCACTATTTAAATAATTATACAAATAAAAGGCAAAGCTTCATTTGTGGTAAGTGCTATGATGGGTTACCCAGTGCTGTGAGAATGGCAAGTTGATTTAGAACAGGATTCACTAGGAGTTAGTGATAGGCTAGGAAAGGATTCTCTTAGGAATTAATGATAAA